GATGAAAAAAAAAATGTAACCAGAGTAATTTGACAAACTGGGACAAAGGTCTGCTGATGGCCATTGGGTTTTTAGGACAGCAGCTCAGCCATGCATTAAGTGGCGAGGAGCTCAGGAGTGTAACCTGATAAATGCACTTAAAACAGTGAAGATGGACAATGAGAGGGCGAAATCTCAGATGGTCTGGCCTGTGTGCCTGCTAGGCACTTTGACAGCCTATTGATCAGCCAAAGAGAGTATTGTGTGGGGTCAGAGGTGTGGGGATGCATGGCTCAGATACTGTTAGTGGGACACATACAGCACAGCGTTAGGATCTATTAGGAAACAGATCCACTGTCGAACAAATCACATTGTTCTTTTCGTTGAAGATCAAACCTGTTGTTGACTTTCACAGTCCTCCCTGCAGAGATGGCTGAAATTTCTCCTCCGATATAATACACAACAACAATATAGCAAACTGTCTGCCTTCTCAAAGTGATGTGACGTAACGTTTTCTGTCTGGCACCATTGATAGCCCAACGCTAGTGAAAATGCCCAGCTCCTGTTATTGAATAGTAATAGGCTTGTCGGCCGGTGCCTCCAATTTCACAAATGGAGCAATAAATACACATAACAGAATCAGTGGAACAATAAGAACGGCCATAAAGAATTGTTGGGCAAAAACAAGGAGCACGGGTGGGGAGGAGAAGGAAGACGAGTGGAGGGGGGGTCAAAAAGAAAATTTGACAAAAGAAAGAGATGAAAAGTGTGAGCGTGCGTCTGTGCGTGCGAGAGTGAAACGGAGAGGGGGGGCGAGGAAGATGGTGGCCCACTCTTCATTTCTGTGCCACAAGCTCTCCTGGGCATTTACGTGCTCCGTTTTCAACCTAAGTGTAATTTGAGCCCTGGGTTGATACAAAGTGTATGCAGCAGCTCTGTTCAAACCCAATCACTCACCCTGACGTGTAATCCTTTCCCTCACCATCATCAACGTTGCTTTGGGAATAATGAAACACACTTAAGCAATACGCAGCAGTCGTACAGCTGCGAGCGGGGCCGCATCTTGATGAGATGCCTCGTAACTCTAATGAAAGGTGTTTTGACCTGTCAGTGGAGGTAAATGATTGCCTCGCTACTGTATCTGTGCGAAACGTATCGATGGCAATAGCCCGGTCCAACTGGATGATTTGCATGAGAAATGAGGAGCGCATTACTTTAAAAAAAAAAAATAAATAAAAAATAAAAATGACAGCAGCTGGCAGCAGCGCTCTACATTGTGTTTGGCCTCCAGATCTCCTTTTTTCTTTCCCTTTCATCCTCAATTCATCTTGTTTCTTGTCTTGTGATGCCATTGTTTCCACATAGAGGATTATCACGATTAATTGGCTAGCAAGACATTATTTCAAAAAGGGAAATTGGCTCTTATAATTATATAGTGAAGGGAATACTTTAACTCCCTGTAATATCAGCTTCCTGAAATAATGGCGCTCCAGCCCCTCACTCCCCCCCCCTCCCCTCCTACTCTCCACCGCCGCCTCCATCAGCGTTAACATGTCTGTCTGCCTGTTTCCTGTGACGGATCCATTTTCAACAGTTCCTGGCCCTGCAGAGGCTGCGGTTGATTACTGGATGGTTGGGTGGCCTGCGTGAATCTCTCACTGGCTTGCCTCACTTACTGCCACCAATCTCTGGTCTTCTGGGAGCTCCTATGTGCTCTTTGTTTTGTCCCATCGCCGAACTCGCTCTCAATGTGTGTGTGTGTGGAAAGGGGGTATTTACACCAAGCAGAGGACAAGGTTAGGTTAAGTTGCTACACTGAATTAAGTAGATACACAACAGCGACAGTGCTGTGAACACACACACATACAAAAAACCTGTAAAAAAACTGTCACCCTTAAACATTACCATCCATGTGAAATTTCCTTTAAAGTTTTACTCGACAGACTTTTTAAGCCAGAACACAAAATAATCACAGAGGTCGGTGAGTATTTAATTCATTGATCCTTTACCTTTTTGAAAATCAAAACATAAAAGTTACACAGATATTGGTGATTTCAACGATCAGAGATATCAATGTACACCATCGCCAAATGATATATTTCACATCATAAATACTCACAGCGCAGAAGCAGCAAATCAGTCACCTGCTCCTGTCTGCAGTTTCATCATCGAGGGACCAATTCTGACAAACTGATGTTCATATAAACACACACTTGCTTAGTAACCAAAACGTGGGGGTCGTGCCCACTGACGGCCAAGTCGTATGGTCGATGTGAACGCATGCTTTACCTTTACAAAGAGATCTATGAAGAATGACGGGGAGGAAGAGATGTACAACTACAAATGTTTTGGCAGGAGCACTGCGGGAGAGAAGAAGTCTTTGATAAAAACATGGATGGCTCAGGTGTGTCACAGACGTGAGGATGATAAAGACCAGAAAGTGCTGAATCAGAGAAATATTGACAAAATGATAATGAGGTAGTAGTCAGCAGGGCGCTGCATACTTCTTTTTTTTTTAAGTGGTATTTCGGCAACCTACTGGATTGACGCTGATATATTTACACACTTAGACACAGCTTCTAATGTAAGACATGTTGTCTTTTCCTTAACATAGTGTCATATTGCAAGGTGAAGAAAAAAAAAATCAAATCGAGTTTTTTATGGCTGATCATCTTAGGCCACTACAAATTTCTATTTGTCGAGATTTTCTGCAGATGCTTTCATTAATGCCGCGCTTTCACTGAAACAAGCACAAAAGTCATCAGTGGAGCAAATCAAATACAGTTCTGATATACAGGATACATGTTACCGATTAGACGGATTTAGAATATGTCACTTAATCGCTTACAAATTCTCCAAAACCTAAGTAAAAGCATGCTTTTAGCATGGTTTCAGTCAGAATTGGTCCCTGTTGTATTGCACAACAGTTAAAACAAGTCAAGTTGGTAATGTCACCCTTTACAGCGGAGCTCGTTTACTCGATGGCGGCTAGCTCAGGTTTTGGAATTGGGCGGGAAAATTTGGAGAGGGAGTGGGCGGTCAACCTTGGATGCACGGCCAATCACACTGCTACTTAAAAAAAAAACGTCATGGCGACGGCTGGATCAGTGTTAAACACTGATATCACAAGCGTGGCGGCAACTCTACCCTCCTGCGATGTCAGGGATTCCTTTGATCGCGGTATCATATTGTTGTGACAGCGCCACAATTTATCACATCACATAAAATCCTTCAGCAGTCTAAGCATTCCCCCTTCAACACGTTCCCTCTCACACGAAGACCAGTGGCATGACTCCAGTGGACTGGACTACAGTGTTACTCACACCCAGCACAATGGACCTACAGCTAAACACAGTGGGGGTGGGGGATCTCTCTCCCACCAGAGTTCACACCTTGCACTGACACGATGATGGGTTGCTGCTACCCATTGTAGCATACTGACCCTCTATTTCTTGCATAGCTATTCACATGTACATACTTGAGCACCCCGAGCTCTTTCTCACTGACGTCTACCTGCCTCTCGGCCGGTGGGAGGGGTGCTGCTGGCCGTGGTGTCAACGCGAGGTCAAGAAGAAGTGCTCCACGTGTCTATCGTGGTGCGACACTGCGCACACAACAACCTCCTGCTGGCTTAAAAATAAACCCAGTGTGAAACGCCACAGCCGCGACTCTGCACCTGCCATTTACCTCTGTTTCGTCGAAGTCCTATAAATGCAGGCGCAGCTATTAAAAGACGGGAGGCGTCTAAAATGGTGAGAGCAGATGCTGGGCACCTTGCTCCCAGTGTGTGGGATGACTCTGCCACAGGCTTAAAGGAGACCAAAATAGAGTGGTTGACATATGGGCCTCTGATTGTTTGAACACGGAATCTTCTGGACCTCTGCCACTCGGCATAAATCCTTTGATACTGCCACACCAAAACCCGCTGATTAACTTTCGCCTAGCCCGAATCAGGTCATCCATTTGCATGTAAAGAGGCAATTTCCAAAGGCTCAAACAATGACCAAATCTGAGGTTCAGTCTGGGGTTCGTGGGCTTGCACGAGCAGCAGCAACACAAACCGCTTTGGAGAAGGAGAAACGGTGGTTAACCGAGGTACAGCGGCGTGTTCCACCGCTGAGACGGGGCTACGCAAATATGGTCTTTTAGTAACAGCAGCACTGAAAAGCGCACAAAAGATAGGATCTGAAGCTTGGCTCCCCAACGGCTCGCTTTATTGCTGAGTTACTACAGAATAGGAACAACTGACTATTGTACCTGCCTACGCTAGTTTGGTTAAACATGGGACCAGCGAGTCTTCCAGTCTGAGCATAGATCCACGACGATCACACGGCATAATGCTCTGGAGAGGTATATCCAAGGACATTTAAACTGATAAGAGTTCACATATAAGTAACCACTTTCATTCTTTTTCCCCCCCATTAGAAGAAGAACAAGAGAAAATGGCCACCAAGTTCACCAGACTTTGAACTGTACACTCAGTCTTTCAAATAATAAATATTTACATGTCCAGACCACAAAAAAGAAAATCAGCTGTTAGACAAGTAGGTGTGTTTATGATGGTTGACACCTCCGCTGTCTTCAGAACATTTTTTTTTTTTATTTTTTTGGAACTTTAAATTTTCTGAAAAAAAAAAAGTCTTGTTATCAAGATCTGGCAACTACTTGCTGAAGTAGTTGCCAGATGCTGAGCGGCAGAAGGGTCCTTCTTCATATACAGCATGACAACTGACAGTTAATTAACAAAAAAAAAAAATTATTACTGTACATAGTATTTCTTATATATTTTAAATTAATCTGCATCATTTTATATTTATACTAATAACCAAGTTTAGCATTTGCTCTTTTTTTTCCTTTTTTTTTTCTTTTTGTGTCCCGGGGTTCCAGGAAGAGGAGGAGTGAGAGAGGTCAGTCTCCATCCTGCCTAGCAGATTCAGCAGGGGTGTCTCCCTCTCTCCTGAGAACCCTCAGCCTTGGTTCAAGTCACTTTCTGTTGCCGCAGCCAATCAGCCACCCACCGATCAGACCTTGGCTTCCAGCATCTCCAGGAAGAGTTTGTGCATGGGCACCTTGCCCTGCACTTTGATGCTGTAAAAGTGCTGCACAGCCTTTGTGGCTGTCTGCCTCAGCAGGGGCAGGGTCATGAGCAGTTTGCCAGCCCGTCGTGGGTCCTCCTGATGCTGGCTGCTCTCATAGTCCTGCAGGGCCTCGTGGAGCGCGTCCTGAAGCTTCTGGACTGCCTCCATGTCCTCTATGTGCATGGAGTCTGACAAAAAAAAGGAGAAAAAGAAAAAAAAGAGCATGAATATGATGGATTTTTTTACATTTGAGAAGAAGAGGGGAAAGGGAAATTGTAAGAAATACAGTTTGCTCTTCTAGACGGTGGTAATGTAAGAGCAGTCATGGGAAATAGAGTCTTCTAAAACAAAATAAAATCTCATGAGTGATCTTAACTGCTCGGTCAGTTGCAGCAAGGTTAGGAACACATTATCAGTATAACTCACACCCTGACAAGATAAAGAATAGATCATAAAAAAAGAAAACACACACACACACACACACACACACACACAACATCTGCTTTGTTTTATTTATATATTTATTCTTTGGTGGATTGGGTAGGGTATTGATATGGCCCTTGACCAGTGGGACTGAAAATCAATGTTATCCTCCAGTAACAATAGCATGAATAGCATCCAATCTTTGCTGAGTGAGTACACATTAAACACCTGACTGTTCCAAAGGACAGAGTGTTTTCCAAAAAAAACAAAGGAAAAAAAGGGAGCTCCATTAGAGAATTGGACACCATAAACAAACGTGAGATGAATGCAACACTTCCTTTTGATACTGACTCCTGCAAAAAGGATGCGAAAGCGATGAATGTGGACGCGTGCATTTCTCCACGAGTTTGCGCTGTATTATCGAAAAGTGTCCACTTCACTACATTCTCCTGCAAACAGCTAAAATATGACTCTCTCACTTTCTCTCTCAGCTTCAGATAGTCCAAATCTCTCCCACCTCACCTCCTGGCATTTTTTTTTTTTAGAGCTGTCTGCAGTTTCAGTCTGGCTTCCCTCCGGTGTTCTTCGCTCCTATAACGTTTCGCTACAGTGCCACTGTTTTTCAAGCGATCCTCTTGTACATGGTGTTACCGTACTCCCCTCTCACTTTCGCCTTTTTCTGCTCCCACCTCTCTCAGGGACAGTCTAGGGGTCGCCCTTTCTTTCACTGGTTAACTGGCATCTGGCACTCAGGAGGCAGCATGTCATTGGCTGCCTGACTCGACTCACCTTGGCGGCGCATATTTTACCACACGGGACAATAAAAGGCAAAACAGATTTCAGGCTTCGCCCCAAATTCATTGACTGGAACAACTGTATTCCCAAGACCTTGAGACATTTCTCACCCTGACGGTTTTCAAATCCACAGTGGTAAAATGAAGTAGGTCGTTTTGTAAAGTGAATGTGGGAAAAGGAGGGGGGTGAAGGAGGGAGGGGATAGAAGAACAAAAGACTCAGATGAGGATGTGGTGTGACATAATTATCTCTTGTTCTTTTCACACAGGCTGCATTTCTACAAATCAAGCCAATTGTTTTTTCTTCTTTTCTTTTTCCTTTCTAGTTTCTCAGCAGCAAAGGCATGCACACACTCTAACAACCGACCTGACCGGAGCTGCGCTTTAAAGGAAGGTTTTGTCGAAAGAGGGAAAAGAAGAGAAAATAAAAAGAGGGATGGAGACATCTCGACAAATGGGAAAGAAAATGGGGCACGAGAGAAAGCGAGCAGCTTACAGACACTGGAGGAGGGGGCTGACTAAAATGTAAAAAAAAAAACAACAACTTTGAAGAAACAATTTCCTCGCAATCCATCAGTGAGCCCACGTCGATCCGATTGATAAACTGCTAATTACAAAATCAATTGCTATGAATTTTCACAGCTGTCAGACAGAGGGGCTCCCGGGAGAGTGATCTCCCAGAGACCTTGTTCTAACGTTCTGGACAACCTCCGCCTCCCCCTCCTCCCATCTCTCCTTCCTCCTCTCACCTCACCTCCCTACCAACGCTCTGTTATCTGAAAGCAAAGTCCAAGCATCAGCATTTTCGTTTTTCAGTCCCGGACAAAACAAGGGAAAAACTGGCCCGCTGACCCAGGCGTGGATTGATCAGAGGAGGACAGGTCCTGCCTCCTCAAAAAGGCGCCTGTCAATAGCGGCGTGCCGTCTTCGCACTGGAACAAACGAGCCCCATCACGCCCTGATACTCATTCCATTTGACTTAACACATTTTATTGACAGCCCCCTGCGCTCCTAATGAAATGCTAAATTTATCTCCCGTGGCTGCCGTGCCCTGCAGCTACTGTTATGGAGATGGAGAAAGAGGAGGGAGAGGGAGCGCTGGAGAAATACCACAACATTGAAGGTGTTCAATTAAAAAAAAAAAAAAAAAACTCCCTCCGTCCCTCTTTCTCGTACACTGGCCTTATCTTCTCTCCATCTCTCCATCTCACGCTCCAAACTAAAGGTTACACTGAAAAACTCATGAAAAACTAAGAAATGTCATTTCTGAAACTGTGTTAGACAAAACCCATATTACACTGACTAGTGTGCATTCCTCCGAGGTCCAGTCGGGGAAAAAGTAAAATGTCCTGAGTGAGTAATGCCCATGAGGATTTTTTTCAAGAATATTTTTAAACCTTCACTTTTGTTTAAGCCCAGAGATTGTGTACTTTTTAGGATAGTGTGCGTGTATTCATTTGTTTTAATTCAGGTGAATTAAAAGATTAAAATTTCATTGCTTCTGCTTATTACTGTATTAGTTGTTGTATGTCAAATTTGCATACTTACACTTTTTAAACAAAATGCAACAACAAAAAAAATGCAACTAAATATTTTAATTACAGACATTGCTTTTATTTTACAATCGTTTTTAAATAAGTGGTTAAACTAAAGAGAAAGGTGATTTTTTTTTAAACAAAAATTAAAGGAAATGTTGGATTAAAAAAAAAATTAGTTTTAAAAAATTATATATTTGGTTAAACAGAAAACTTTTCCCTAAATTTTTTTAAATCAAATTATTAAAAACTCCAACTTTATTTATATTTTAATTTAACTCTTTTGAGGATTCTCTTTTAGTCTACATTAGTATAAAATAAAATGTATTTCAATAAAAACTCAAGCACACTCCATGTCATATATGATGCGTCACTGTGCTGAAGATAACCCACCTGAGTTGGCAAGAGCAATGGCTTTGAGGGTTACAAACTCCTCCTTCTCCACTTTGAGCTTCTTGTATTTGCGGACCAGCTGCAGGATGGACACGTAGAGGTCGAGCAGGCCCGTCAGCCGCGAGTGCTCCTCATCCATGATGTAGTCCTCGGCGTACACCAGCTCGTCTTCGTACGGCAACGAGCGGAACACGATGCTGAGGATGAGGATCTCCATCCAGGCGCTCTGCAGCAGACTCATCTGGTCTCCCAGAGAGAGAGTAGAAAAGCCTGGGCAGGAAGAGAAGGGGAGAACCTGAGCACAATCTGCAAGCTTATATTTCTAGTCAAATGTTAAAGAAAAGGACAAAAAAAGAGCAATTATGTGACGTACGGAATTTTATCTCTTCCACGATTTAGAAAAAGTCTTCTTTATTAGAGGGAAAGAAAGCTAAAACCGTAGGATGTCGGAGATGCGATCAGTAAAACAAATACACATGTACATGCACATGTTAGCGAGTGGTCTTTAATTTCAAATGCACAGTGCAAGGTCCTCTTTGAAGCTGGTGTCAGAGCACTTGAGTGGGCTTTAGTGTAAGTGAGGACAGTAAATCGGTGCAAAGGTCCGGGATACACAAAGCCATGTGGTTACCCCTTGTATCCTGTCACTCTTGTATTGGTGTGAGGGGGGATTAGCACCAAGACACATCCTCATTGGAGGGGTTGAGGACATGACACGCACTGTGTAACAAGAGGAGGTGATGAGGGAATGCACACACACACATCCACGGAAGTGCAAGAAAACAGACATGCATGCATATTCAGATAAAGGCATCTACATGTATGCACATGAATGCATAAACGTAAAACGGCGCACATCAAGAGACACAAACGAAGCTGGGGTCACATGGTGCAAGTCATGCCCAAAGGCCTGCTTAAACCCAGGGCCAAACTCTTCGACAGCAGTAGAATAAAGCTGAAATCGGCACGAGGACAATACACCTCCGTCTTTTTCGACCCCAACGCCACGACATATGCTCAGAATAGAACATTAAATCAAACAAAGTGTGAGATCCCTGAAAGATGAGCTGTGAGAAATTCAAACAAATTAATAAGAGCAAAAAAAAAAAAAGAGAGCCAGAGAGGAATCGTCTCGTCCCTTTTTCCCTTCGTAGCTCCCTTTAGCTGTCAATAAACCGCATGACATCCCCCAACACTCCCCATATTCATTCCCCCCAATCTCCCACCTCCCCTCCTCCTCCACAGCGTTCCTGCAGGCGCCTCATTCTGACAGCATATTAGGCTCTTCGGCTCCACCCCTGATTAATAAGATTGCTTTTACAAGTTTGCTGTTGCCACACTTGCGTAGCCGTTGTGTGATTTAAGGGCGATAGATTACAGTATTGACCGGAGCGCTCACTGCACCCGCATTCCACATTTTCTCTTAAATATAAATGATCTTACTAGGGTGCAGCCACCAACCTGATGTTTATCTCTTTCTGCCAGGACAACATAAACGCATAGACACGCACACACACACACACACACACACGCACGCATGCAGCTTAAGAAGAATAAGAGACATAATGAGGAAGCGTCAGAGAATGTGAAAAAGAAACAGGACGATGAGAGCGAGTGAGGGAGACGGGCGGAAAAGAAGAGCTGGGGAGAGAAGTACCCGAGTGTTCAATTTCCCTTATCGTGGTGATGACCACTGCAGGGGAAGAGCTGGAGGATACATTAATTAACAGATTGTGATCAGAATGTGAGGGCCTTCACATTTTGAAGGGGAATCAATAGTCAGTAAAATAGAGTGCTAACTGAAAGGTACCAGTGCCCTGCTGGACTGGTCAGAGGTTGTCTCTGAAGAGCCCAAATTAGACCCAACAATTCAAACTGCCAGAAGCACTCACAACACTTTACTATTATCAGTGAAGGCAATAAGCCATATTTTAAAAAGGCCTGTGCCATTACACACATATCCAGACAGCATCTTAAAACTCTTTGTTGTGTTATTTCCTTGTCTGCATACGTGGCCATTATGTCGGACAGAATGTGGACTGGCCGGAGCAAAATTGTCATGCAAGCGTGGACGTGGTCTTGATTGCCGCATCAGGTTGGCATCACAATCACAGGAAAAGGCTTTGTGTAGCCTTTTAATGCCAAGGAGGAGTGAAGCGGAACTAAAGCGCTGTTCCCAATATGACAGCTCGTGTGAAGGCCTTGTTCAGGGCTCGCTGAAGTGGCTTTGGAGTTGTTCTGATACAACAGACACCTCTCAGCCATATGCACACATGCGGCTCCAGCAGCCTACAATTACCTTTGACGCTAAAAGTCCTTGAATTTAATCCAGTGTTGTGAGATGGAGAGGTAGTGTTTTTCCCTTGCTCCATTCTCTCTCTTCAAGGCCTAAATTATCGCTCCAAATGGGATCTCATGTCGTTGCCTCGCCTTTTTCCACTCAATTTAATCGAGTAATGAAGTGACTTCCCGACTCCGCAGGTCACATGCCGCTCCGGCCGCCGCACTCTGAAGGTGGCCCGGTTAAGTGCCGTCGGAGTGGGTGATTTCCTCTAATGAAATATCAATATTTACATCTTCATTTCCAGCCCACTGCCTTGGCGGGGTTTGACCAAACATGACACAATATTGACCAAATCACAGAGGCCTGTCGGTGCGCTTGAAGGGCCTTTTCCACTCCACTGCTGAGTGCACCGGCAGCTTTCTGTCTGAAAGTCTTTGCGGCCGAGGAGATAATAACAATGCAGCTCTTGAGTTTCTCTTTGTTCACTTTGACTTAAGCACCCCGCTCAAATAGGGAGCATTTATATCTCAAAGAAAATGTTCACTTTCAAAATTCTCTGCTGCGACTTTTTTTTTTTACACTGCTTTTGAATGAAAAACTCAATCGAGACAAAGGAGCACAAATAAATACGAGTGATAAAGAAACAGCACCGCATAATGGCCCACCTAATCGTCAACTGCATCATCATTAATAGCTCAAAGGGCAAAAATCAGACCACTAAAGTCCAACAACAGAAGCCAAAACCATCATCTCCTCCTTTATCTCCCCAAAAGCCCTCGGCTGTGAGCAGGAGGGGGCAGCCCAAACCTACAGACGGCTGCTTTAAACCCCTTGCAGAGATTAATCAGAGCACTGTTTCATCTGCCAGAGCACAGGACGGTCCAAAATGAAATGCTGGAGATTTCTGTTGAGCTGGAGTTCATATTCTATTAATTTATTATTGTTTCCCTCTCCCCGAGGGCCATTAGCGTGGGTAATAAAAAGAGATGTAATTACGAGGCACGGTGGCCCCCTCCAGCTGCAGCCCCCTCGTAACTCAACCTCAATCAGACAACAGAGCAGACAGAGCGAGGGAGAGAAAAAGAAAAAAGATGGCAAGCGGGAGAGAGGGAGGGAAAGAGCTAGAGAAATGGGGGATAAAAGAGAGGAGAAGATATGGGCCAGGGAGGAGGGAGATAAGGAAGAGAGAGAGCAAAGGGGGACCAGAGCATAAGGGAAAGGGAAAAAAGGAGATAGAAAGAGGAAAGAGAGTAATTCTGGCTGGACAGGGGCTGATCTATCATGGCCAGATATCAGAAGGACAAGCAGGCCCTGAAGACTTCTGCCCAGCGGCAATCTCACCTCAGCCAAGTCAAGTGCTCTCCGGGCTCCAGTTAGAGTAAAACTGCCCCTAACAGGACCCCAGAGGTTGAGCACGTCTTTCTTTTTTCTAACCTCAAACTGGGCTGAATGATCACACTGCCATAAGCTTATTCTATATCAAAGCTTTTTGTTGTTGTTTTGTTTTATTTCAGATAACAGTTTAAAAGGGGCAAAGGACTGGGGAAAATGTGCGTGCACCTCTACTTTGCATGGATTCTTGTCACTTCCAAGTGTGACACACAAGACATACAAGCAATATAGGAAGAAATCTCCATTTTGAGCAATTTTGCAGATGGCGCAAACTCGTCTTCATGGACCTTTGTGCATATAACTCGCATGCCGACTATGACCCTTTTTGCATTTATATGACGGCGTCAGGAGGATCCAATCAATAGCAGCTCGGTAATAAATTGCTGTGCTTGACGTAAATAATTTGACCTGAAATCCAGCCACATGTACAACACAGACAGCTCAGTTTGCTGCGAAATTTCCCTGGACATTGATTTGATGACACAAAATGCTGCTTTTTTTTTAAAAAAAATTATTGAGTAAAGTCTAGTCAATACAAGCTGACTAGGTGAAAAAGAGGTTGATGACTGAAAATTAATTGCGTTTTCAGGAAGCGCCTATCAGCCTTCTTTAGACGTGATAACCAGCCCATTACCCCATTGTAAGTAGCTGGAGAATGGGGTGATTTGACCAGCAGCCTGTGAATGTTATGAGGTTGAAAAACGTTAAATACAGTAATCCCCTTGTTTTAATCTGCACCCTATAACCTCCTGACCCGGGCAGCAAAGTCTTTAGCTCTCCCCAGGGTCCCACTGGCCACTACTGACTTTACATATCTCTTAGCCCCAAAGACCAGGACGAATCAGGCTTTAATCATTGCTATAATTACACATAATTTATCTCCACTGCCATCAAGTAACACTGCTTAATGAGGTATGTCTCTCTGCTGATCATCACTTAAAGGCACATTGGCAAAAAAGATTTCACACAAAAAGATTATGCACACATGTTAAAGTTTAAGAAAGTATTTAAATTTTATCTATTTTTGTCATTAAAAATATGTATATACATACATATATAACAACGCCAGATGTACCTAGCTATACATCTGTCACAATAACTAAACAAGCTTGGCTTCCTGGTCCTGCACACTGTTGGCTTCCTGTCCCCCATCTCAATCTCCCTGCATGAGATTGGGGGTTTCTGCCTTCCTTCCACTCTCTGACTGGGTTCAGGCCTCAGCATCCACCTGATTGCTCAATCTATCTTTATCTCCTGTGTTGAAGCCTACGTCAGAGGGTAAATTGAATATACTAAGAGCTGTCTGTTGGTGTCTATATTTAATAAAGTGCACTGATGAGGTGCTGATTTATTGCCAGGCAGTATTCACACTCTATTACAAGGAGATTACGCAGCTCGAGTGGGATCAGGCTGGCAACACAGTAAGTAGATTTTACAATTTAATGGCAAAGAGAAAACAGGAGCCCAGGAGGAGGGGGGGGGTGAAGGAGGCTAGGCGACTATAGTGGAGGGTTGAGCTGACAAAAACACGACAACGTACAAGAGGCGCAATCTTTTTTCGACATCGGTGCCTCCGTGCTAACAAATAACGCGCCAGGCAGTTGTCTGTCAGACGCAGAAGCTGATGAACTGAAATCCAATAAAGCACAGACGATGAATATTCCCAAAACACCAGCGATGAAAAGAACAATGCAAACTAGTCTGATTCATTAGGTTCCTCTGGCCTGAATCTAATACGAGAAAATCCTTTGCGTGTATATTTTATAATAATTCATTATAATTAAAGCTGTGTGACAAATGAACTTCTTAACGTTACAAATGTAAACAGACCTGAGAAATAAACAATCCTCACTCAGTGTCAGCCAACATCACTTTATTATTGTTCAGATGATACCCATTTATGCATCCAATTGGCACCCGTCACACTGCGCACACTATTTAAGTTCCTTTAGTCTACCTATACAATTGTCATGCATCTGCAATCCGCTTTGCAACCCACATCCACCTTAAATCCTTTGACTATATTGGTCCTGACTGAAACGTGTTTTCTTTGTATGGTGCAAAGTAGGACAGTGTCAGTGTTTGTTTGGCCCTTTAGCCCTGAGAGAACTCCCAGCTGAAAACACTCGGAGCTAGGAAGCTGGGAGGTGAGCTGGCAAGCACCAAACAACGAGCACCTTTTGTATAAACAACAGGCACAGCACTCTTTACATATGAACACATGACATTCCCACTGCGGGTGTGAAGGCATGTGGGGAAAGCACAGGGTTATAAGGGGTTACACTTGAAACTCACTGCTGCTGAGGAAGGCAGCAGTGTCAAGTTTGGTAAGCAGGTTCTAGTGTACTGAAGTGGTCAGGGCACTTAGTTGCTCACTAAACGTCTTGGACAGAGGAAAATGCAGCTCTAAATTGATGGAAGGGACCAGAAGGGGTGGCCAGAGGATTGCTGTGTGTGTCGAAGGTTGTTAGCACCTTAGGAGCAACAAACCATCTGTCAGCGTTGCCCTAACACTATTCCTAATGACCCCGTGGCCCTAAGGCAACAGCCGTGTTACTTTGTGCTGCCATTTGGAGCAGTGACACAAGTGTCTAAAAGCTCAGCGGTGATTATCAGTTAATTAAAGATGCTCTTCAGATGAAGGCAAGGCTGCAGTTTTGCAATGGCAAACCTGTTAAAAAGGACTGATATGTGACACCACGCTGATCTGAACAACTGAACGTGTTCTTATTTCGCCTAAAATTGCAGAATTCTGTAACACCTGAAAAGAACTTCACGTATGTAAGCCGACCTTTCACGGCCAAAATAACAAAGTCGACATCGGAGCCTGTAAGGCAGATATCGGCTCCACTAATGATACAGCTTTGTTATCCTCCAATTGTCCTCCCATTAAAACCCAATAGGGCCACTCTTCCGCCACTTTTGAAACACGTTCCAAATGTTAGCTGAAAATAGGAGAAATTAAAAATCAATCGGGAGAAGGTAACTGCCAATTTTCATGACATTTAAATTGTTACACTCAGACTTCAGTTGCTGGCCCATCTGTCAGTGGCCTAATCAATGTGGTCTACTTCATAATGAACAGTTAATCTCTTTAATTCCATTGCCCAAGGCCACAAAAATCTATCAGGATACAATCAGCAGGTTTTTTCCCCTCCTTCTCTTCCCTGTCGTAGCTGGAGAAGAGAAATATAGTAGGAGCGGAGCGTGGTAGGCTGCCCTGAGGTACCGCTGGTGCATGCAGTGTTAGTGCATGGAGTCTCGCTCAACCAGTGAACCGTCTCTGATCAGGTTCAGCCATGTACAACTCAATTATGCAGCCATTTCATGGCCAGAGGACACCCACTGCCCTAATGCAGACACGGACCGAGCACTTAGTTGAAGTGGAACTCCTTTTTTTCCCTCTTAAATTGTTATTTAACAAGAATGAGTGTGGTTTTACGAACAAAAGCATTAAAACGTGGCCACAAACGAAACCAGTGTCGAGTCTTCTTCAGAAGCAGATGAGAAAAATCTGCTTCTGTCTTGTCAACGTGCAGCCAGTGCAGATTATTTAGTGCAAATCAGTTAGTGCAGCTATAGTACCACGCGCCGGCTCACAGTGGAGCACACAGTCGGGCTTAGTGCTTCGGGTTTTGGGTTAAATGATCATTATCGCCACATTTGGAATGACGAGTCGTCAGCTGCAATCTATGGGGCAAATCCCATTAACGTTATGAATCTACCCACTGTACAATACGTGTTAGTATAATCTGATTAGCAACGTTTCAACACCATGACACACAGAATCCGAGTAAGCATGTACACATATTAAAATGATGAAGCATTTCAGGGATGCGAGATAAAACCTTTAATACTTGTATATTAGTGTTTTTTAAATAATTGGCTAAAAGGACCATCTATGAAGAAGAAACATTTCTGACTCTGAACAATACACATTAATGCTCTCTTTATTCTCTCTAAATGCAAGTTTGCACTAGTGAAGATTCTTCCTGTCTGTACTCTACAGTCAGCCTGGGAATGCTGTCAATTTTGTGCATGTCTGCGCTGCTGGTGTAATTTTTGGGTCACAATGATGAGAGTGTGTTATCGGGTCAGCTGTGATCCAGTCCTGAGTAAGCTCCTTGGTTAAACTCTCAGTCTGCTGACCATGCATGGCCTGTGGGGAGTGATCCAAATGGTTTAGTCGCGTAAGGGACTGGGGCTGAGGCCAGGGGCTGGGACCGTATCCATCTCTAATCTCCTTACTATCAGATCTGTACCTGATTAATACCCCTTCTTCTGAGAAGTACTCTAATACCTATCGGTACACAATGCACCACCCCGAGGTCACTAAGAGTCCACTTTGTATCAGTCAAAATAAATAAACTTTTCATGTGTGTGCCATGCGTAGAGTGTGCATATGTGTCGGCGTTGTAATGATGTCGTGCATTTCCTGCATGCTGACAGATGTATGCCTGTCCAAGTTATGCTGATGAGAAGAAGAGGTTATGGCGTTGGCACTGAGGGACACATTGATTTAGTTTGTTACCGCTTTGTCTCTACAGCACTGCAGTGCTACAGAGTTATAGGGGTCAAGCAAAAGATCAAGCGGGAATCTGCTTTAGTTGCCAAAAAAGAACAGCTAAACAACATGTACTCTGTCAAAATCAGAGGAAAAACTCACGAAGGAAGCAAAATCTCTGCTGATGTGAGGTGGCCTATCCTCAATTCAACAGCCTCTTATAACCTAACACCTCCTCTATCAGAATGTCTATGGGGCAAGGAAGAAACATGATTATGCCCATCAATAATTCAATATGTGTGCGTGTGTGTGTGTGTGCTTGCACTTGTGTGCATTCATGTGTGCATATGTGTGCCTGTGTGTGATATGATGTCTTGTTTGACTGGGCAGGTCCCCAACTTTGCTCTTAATCTCCCCGGTGATTACAACATACAATGGCACCGGGTCTGTGTCCCCCCTTCTCCACTGAATGGAGGGATTTAAAATGCACTCTATTGATTTGTTTCTCGCACAGCGATGTCCATTTTGCACACCCCTCAATCCTCCACGCACCCGGAGGCTGTATGAGCTGCTGTCATTAATTATCTACGTGTGAGTGCATGCTTATTTTCACAGAGCATGTTTAAAACTGGGGGCAAAGAGAGATGAAAGAGGAAAAATAAAACAGTATTGAAAAAGAGCATGCCTTGAAGTAAGACAATAAGAGAATATTTTATATGTCTTTTACCTGGGATGTGTTTAGCCCAGCCGATAATGACCACCAGCTCGCGGTCAGCCAGGTCACAGAGCGTGGTCAGAGCCTTGATGTCACTCTCCGGCATGGTGGGGTCAGGCATGGCATAGATCTTCTCTGGCTCTGCCACCAACAGGTGAGACACTATCTTTGTGACTGGATAGAAGAGGAAGGAGGGTGGGGGTGTCAAAAAAAAAAAAAAGGAGAGGTCAAAGGTTATTTCACCGTAATGCTTAGAGAGGCACACAGATGCGCAACACTGATATGCATGACAACATGACGAAACAGTAGCATGGTGGTCCCACCTCCCCTTTTTTTGCCTGTGTGTGTGTGAAGGAAACGCCACATTGTGCAAAGGAAATTTACAGTGTGCAAAAAACGCGTGAGACAGGAGTGTCCTCAAGATCTCTCACTCTTTAATATCAGTCTGTTCAGAGACTTATCGTAACTCGGCTCCGAGCAGAACAATAGGTGGCCTATATTTACGACAAACGAACTCTCAACTGTCCAAACATGCAACATGACGGAGGAACGCGAGTCTGTCCTAGAATTTTATCTCAGTTTTACTTGCTTGCTCGCCTGGTAGAGGAGAGGCAGCGGAAGAAAGAGACAATGGGCTATTGACGGGGGGGTGGGGGGTACTCACGAGGCTTTTTGGTGGGAGGAGGGAGCGTCAGGCCCAGGTACGGATTGTTTTCTGTGTCCAACCTCCTCTTGTACTTCTGTCTGCCCCCTCGCACACGGTCCAGACGAACCCCTAAGAAAGAAAAAATAAGACCGCCGTGTAAATTGTGATGAAGTTGTAAAGACATAAATATAGGATTATGGTTCAAAATTACACCCTCACATATTCTATATTATAATATATTAAAGTAAATGTGAGCTACAGTGCTGGCCTTTAGCTTGTATGTAAGAAATATAAAAGGACTACGTAGAGGTATAAAAATGTGTCCGTGTGTATGAGCATACTTTCAGTGTGTGTGTCTGTGTGTTTGTGTGTGTGGGGATGTGTCAGAGTTGCGGCAGGCTTCCCATATGTGGTCCATGCCTGGCTGGTCTACTGTGACACAGCTGAGCCCAGAGCAGGTCTAAACATATGAATATTTAACGCAGGGTCAATGATCTCACAGACTGGCCCTCTAATTATTTAGCTTTTGGGGTGAGGCAGACTGAATACTAATTAGCTGCCAGCCACTTGCCTCTTTGCTTGTGTATGTGTGTGTGTGTGTGTGTGTGTGTGTGGTTTGCGTGCTCAGGTGTGTCCTTTTTCAATATCCACAAACAGCAACTTAACCAGCCAACAAGCAAAGACATAGTCACACATACAGTGTACAAAGCATCCACTGTCATACTGCAGATAGATAACTAGGTATTGCTTTCCAATAAAAGACCCTTATTTCACCCCTCTTTCACAGGAGTAGCACCAAGGCCTTATCATCCGCAGCCACACCTAGGGGGCCAGGTTCCACACTGATACTGTAAATGTCAAGCTGGCCTCATCATAACATAAGTTATTTATTATCTCATTATTTGATAAGAATGTTTCTATTAAGATGTCTTTTCTATTCTATTAATTTTCAACATTGTAAACATATTTCATCTGCGCCGTTCTATTCATTTGATGCCACTCGGCAGGTATTTGGCCATTTAATGAAATTGTATGCAAACATTTATATCCTGCATGCCCTTATTTGGAATTGTGTCACTGCCACCGGACAGTCTAAACATACCGGCTATCTTAATCCAGCTGAGAAGGAGAATCTGTTCAATTTACCTTGTATGCATAATGTAACAACCCCCCCCCCTTTACACAGACGTGCAAACAAATTTAATACTAAAGGTTGGATGAGGAAAAAGGCTCAATGAAATTCTTGCGGTGGAGGAGGAGTTAATTTGTCAGCCTCCCGTGTCCTTTGAGTGAACAACACCCGCAGCTGGAGCACTTCCTTGATGATTTCATCACTTTATAACAGGGAGGACGGTGTCAAACCTGGGCATTGTGTGGCCACTGCAAATGAGCCTAATACAATTTGCCCATCAGCAAGTGCTCTTGGAGAGGATGAGTTTGGATGTGTCCCATGCGTGGCGATTGGAGGTCGCCCGGTGAACGGATGGGGAAAGGGAAAATCAGATGATGTAAGATAGAAGTGGTGGCCTTCATTTAACAAAGAGGAATTCAGCAGCAGATTTATGCAAAATAGCTGATTTTTATATACAACAGACACAAAGCCCTACTCGCTCTCTCTGTGAATGGGGAGTCCAGTAAGTTGTATTATCATGTAACTATAAAACAAAGATTTTTTTTCTACTTATATAAATTATTTGATTCCCTAGAAACACAAATCTGATTAGGACTGTCTTTCAATTTCCTGACACTGACAACCTACTAACCTAATTACCCCCAACTCCCAGCAGAGCCTTATCCTTCCCAGTGAGTACCAGGGAATCATCTGACATCAACTACCTGTATTTCATGCACAAGCGTGGATACTTGGTGACAATTTATTTTTTATGTGCATTGTATCAAGCAATCAATTCTGGCAGTGTTGTGGGCTACTGCTTAAAAACTTTCTGCATTAGCTAAAACACCGTTATTCTTGGATGCATGTCACAGTCAAATGTGCTATCACCACTTTCTACAGTTTCTTCCGGCTCTCCAGATGAGCTTGGCTGCTGCCAGGTGGCAACGCTTCTGCTCTCCGTGTTCCTCTCCGCCGGTTGAGTCGTGTGGCTGTGTCAGCCAGCATAAAGCCAACTACGGAGGTAGATGGGTGCCTCTTTTAATTAGAACAGTCCTGGCCATAATTAACAGATGCTGACAGGAATTAAAGCTCCGCACTAACCTGTCTCATTTTACTGTCCAACAGGGCCAGACACAGGCAGAGAGGAAGAGAGAGTGATTAAGAGCAGCCAGACAGATTCATTCACTCATGCTGTCAGGTACTATAGCCAGGACTTTTATAGGGGCCTTTGTGAGGTTCATATGCCCCTTTGGTGACGCTTTAAGCGCTCCGACTCTGGCCAGTCTGTTGTGCTCCCTCCAGAGTAAACAGTAGGTGCGTTATAAATGTGCAAAGCGAGTTGAGTGCCACCTCATCCACAGTCATCTTGCTGTTTTATGGCCCACTACACAGTGCGGCAAGGGTAGCAGCGGGTGAGCTCGGGTATCATCTCTTCAAAGGAGGGTGCTCGGGGAGGGGGCTTTTGGCCAAGGCGGCTGGCATTTGTGCACGGATTAGCACAGGCCTCGAGGTGGGGGCTGGGGCCAGCTGACCTACAGCTCTTCTTTCTCTCCAAAAACAATAATAATCCCCTTCCGCGAACACTCCTACAAAAGGGCCTGTCTTCACTCACTTTATGCGGTAGGGGCCCTTATTTTGAGTCCCTCACCTGTTCTGGGTGTCTCTCCCTGGGGAAAGTGTCAGGATGTCTGGGATGGTTGGCAATGCCAAGGGGGGCTTAGGCGGTCCCTATTTTAGCTGGGAAAATCAGAAGGCCACATGGCAAGGCATGGTGAACCTTGCCTTTCAAGGAAGCCGCCTGCTAAACTGCCGTCAGCACTATTTCAAAGGGCCCTCGTTGCCAGCTTTGCATGCTTCTAAGTGCATCGCAGCATTTTTAATCACGAGTGGTGATGAGCAGGGGTAGCGGAAAAATTGTCACGCATTGCCCCCCGTCCTCATCTGCTGACCCCAGAGGCTGCCATAGTGACACCCTTGTCACATACTCCATTTACAGGTTAGCTACAGTATCCCTCGTGAGCTGACATCCTTGCTCGTACTGCTAATTGAAAAGACTAAACGGCACTTAAACCTCACTTCAGAGTCTAAATTAAACTGTTGAAAAAACATTTCAAGTGATGTTTGCCACAGTGGAGGCCTCCTATTACTTACTTATTTCAATTATAGATCTTAGAAGCAGACTGGATTCATCTTACTGGTACACACAACTTTGAAGAAATGACATTTAGTACTTTACTTCACTAAACATTTTCTTTTTCATTTGTATGTTGTGCGTTTTACTATAACTGACTGTTAGAGCTTGTTCTCTGCATGAAAATGTATTGCATATCAGTACAGACACACTCCTTTGTTCAGCAAATCTTCACAGCTGTCGCACTGCTTCCTTGCAAAAGCAGAAGATTCCTTTAACACACAGTATTCCAAAATTAGGACAATGGAACAAAAAGCTATTGTCTTTGGTCAATGCTGTGGATGTGCAGATAAAAATATATATTAACTTTACAGAAATGGTCGATTTTCTTGAGCTCTGAGCAGCTAGTAAGACTAGAAAAAGCACTATGTAAAATATACCTGTCCATTCTTGTATGTGGAGGCATGTACAGTAGTGTGAGTGTGCGAGAGAAAGGAAGTCGTGGTGGACAGCAACTGCCACTGAATGATGTCAGTCTAATCTCTCAATACTATCTTGTCTTCTCTCTTGCTCTAAGCTCTGATCTGTTTCCATTGATCAGAGGAAAAACCTGTTGCATCTGACATTTGATTAGTCTATTGATCACTTCCTCCTTTACACAGTCAAGGGAAAGTACAGCTACTCAACACAAGGTTCAGGCAGGCCTCCTGTAATCGGACTGCTGATCTTCCAAGACCATTTTCCTTATGCCTCCTATCCGGTTTCCAATATTGAAGTGCCAAATGTGGCTTCAGTGGCTTTGCTTTCACAGGTGTATCCACACAGAACAGAGACGTGAAATCTTAAGTTGTTTTATTTTTTTGTTTAAATCCAGTGAAGGATTTAAACTTATGTTTCTTTGGGGGGGTCAGCAATGCACTTTGTTGGGGCTATTAAGTTATAATTAGGCAATTTTCCATTGAGACACAATGTGACCTTTCTGCAGTAATGAAAGTAAGTTGCAACCAGAGTCACATGAGCGGTTGCCACCATTTCCTGAGCCGACGGCTTCATTGAGCTTACAGTCGGCACAGACCACGTGTCTCTCTTTCCATTTAGTCTTGGTGACACAGCCCCAAGACAAGAGCTTAAGCAAACGCTCGTTTTCTTAGTCACAGCCAGCATGTTTCATAATTTCGATTGTGACAAAAATCAGTTATATGAGAGGGATCTGTGAACACCAGCACATGACTTTAATCACGCACAGTGACAATAGCTGCCGTGCGGTGATGACAGCCACTATGTAAAGGAGGAGAATCATTCTTATTCTGATAATGTGCTGAGTACACAGAGGAGTGCATTAGAACCTCAGGCTTAGCCGTACTCTGCATATTCGGGTTTTACGCTCTTTTTTAGGCTGACCTGACACCAGTCATTCATTTATAGCAACGGCTACATATTTTTGTAGTCTCTTATTCTCCAAGGTGATATATTGCAATAAATTTTTCATCAGATAGTAATGCGATTACTCTGTCATTCTGGCATTGAGGCTTTATCTGGCTGTGCACAGTCCAGCAGATTCTGTTACTGGGTTGGGATCCATACGGGCTACGACTCCGGCTTCAGGTCGCGACTGGGTATGTATGCATCTATAAATCCCCCACTCTCCAATAGAAGAGAATAATGGGATGAATAAAAGCAGAGTATATAAATTTCACGGAGTTTGGCAGAGAATTTAAAAGTGGACGTTTTAACTGGATTTAATTTATCTTCGATTTCGGAGCTCTTATCTGGCAAAGCATTTATACCACCGCCCAACCGTGAGGGATGAAAAAACCTACCCTTCCTGCTTTTATCTGCACTTAAGAGAGAAGCAAAATAAAAATGAGTGAAAACAAAAACAACACTGCTTCCCTCCAGATGTTGTCATTTCTATGTTATTTGTCTATCTTTTATTTTATTTTATATTTTCAAGCAAACAGCAAATGATAAACTGACAGAAACAGAAAGAGTAAGGGAGGTGAAAACTCACCCACTAGTGCAGTGGGATGAGGGAGAGTGGACAGGTGCCTCCGCTAGAAGAGCAGCCAAGGTTTGTGTCTCGGGGGAATCAGTCAGTGGGGAAAGGGAGGGGGAGAGAAAACCAGCCAGACAAATCCATCGGAAGCATGTTTAATTGTCACTGAATTCCCTGTTGGCGTGACTTTAAAAAACCATCCACAGGAAGAGAGCTGAGATGTTCGGAAAACATTTAGTGGATCAATATGCCAGGGAGAGCTGAGACTGTTGCGGGTGTGTGCTCAGGGACCTGGCCTGAGCCTTTCCAAGTGGAATACTGTTACATTTCTATTACTCAAAGGCAGGGATCAACCTATTCAGCATATTTCTGTCCCCAACTCAACTGCACATTATTTACTGCTGTGTGGATAGGAGGGGGAGGACAAGGGGCTGGGAACTGTTGTGCCGGCCAGCTAGTTTTATGCATTTCTCATCGTGGAAATGCATAAAACTAGCTGCTGCAGGAAAAAATAACATGGGCCTTCTTGGTGGGTCATAAGACATCAGGCACGCGATGATGATGTATTCGACTATTGTTGATCTGATTGTTTTTGTATAAAGTGTGTGCTTCTATGCTACAAAATCTATGCTACATGAGTGTGTAAGAATAATAAAAAATGTTCTTACTCTTCTTACCTTCTTTGAGCATCCCCACTTTGAGGCATTTCATGAAGCGACAAGCCTGACATGATTTGCGTCTCCGTTTTGTGATCTCACATTCATTTGTGGCAGGACAGCTGTATTCTATGTTACCTGGGAGAAGAAGAAGAAGAAGAAGAAGAAGAAGAAGAAGAAGAAGAAGCACAGCTTAGCACCAATGCCATATTCAAATAACGAGTAGAGTATAAAGTACAAGCATTTTGGACCTGATGCTAAGCTGGGTGCTCCCAGTAAATGCAGAAAACACCATCATTGTGTTTAGATGGTCTATTATATAACAACCACTCTGGTATGGGCACCTGTTAATCATATAGATTCTTACAGAACCAATTTCTATGTGTCCTCCAGTGTGTGGAGTACCTTCTAGCACTGAGGTCCAGAGTCTGAGGAGAGGCGGTGGGGGCAAGGAGTAAAGGGCAAGGGGTTAGGGGTGGAGTGAAATCTAAAACAGTCCTTTAGGACCGTTCAGCAGATGCCACTCTACTGCAACACTAAATTGGTCTCATTAATTCTGTGCATGTCCCCTCCAGGCCCCGGGTGCAGGCCATGTCCCTCTGCGCTCAGAGGGGCCTGCCACTGCTTCAATAGCAGGCTAGAGAGCCAGACACACTGCCCCTGACCACTTTACATAATACTCCTGCAGACCCAAACCTGTTGTTACCACTGTTGCCATTGTTGACTATTTACATAGTGTACAGGCAAGAGGCCTTATGCATTATTCAGCTGCAGCGTCTGATTCCAGGACGGAGCAATGAAAAAGAGTTTCATTGCTACACAATAAAAGCGCCGGTTCCGCACTACTCTAGCATTAGCAATAGGAAGGGCAGGGTATGTGAGGCAGTTCCTCCGCTGCTGCCTGATTCCCTACATTTTACTGCATTCGGGGGTTTTCAATAAAGGGTTTCAGTGTAATGGTTGCTTCGGCCTAGGAATTTGAATTATCCTCATCTTGAGTGGGCTTTTAGCTTGAAGGATTTTGACATTGATATTTTCTAAACTTTTCTTTTAACCTATTGTTTGTCTTTTCCAGTGTAGTGCTGAAATAGACTGACGTCTAATGTCAGAATCGAACCTAATCGTTATAATTCCCACAACATAAACATCCTCATCCATTAAAGTGCATCTAAGCAAACAGGATGGTAGCAAACCTGCTTTCCACCCACCAACCTCTTCTAAAGGGGGAAGCATTTCCTGGTGTGTGCGCACACCGTCCAGACACATTCACACGCAAGCACATTAGGATTGCACCCCGACGTCCTGAAGCTGCACCCCAGCTCTGACCCTGAGTTCACATTTCTGTACAGAAAGCTGTGTAATATTCCACTGGCATTCCTATGCTAGCCCTCTAACATCCTTTGACAGCTTATGCAATTATGTTAACATTATTGGACAGATCAAGTAGAGGGTCCCAAGATGTTATAAATAATTAGAAATTCCTCTTTATATCTGGGTTAGAAATCATTATGCTAATTCTCCTCTTCTCTTTGGGATTGGGGTAAATAAAGGTGTGAGGCAAGTGGCTGATGAGCTCTGATTGTCTTTCCTCTGTCTGTTTTCTCTGTTGTCATAGCAGAACCAGACCATAATAATCCTATCCCTTTCTCATAATCTGGCAGGAGGCAATCAGTGCCGCCCTGCACAGAAGTTAATCTTCTGGGGCTTTTTTCTGTTTGTGTTTCCATTACACACTAACCAATCCTTAATTTTGATGTAAAGTACTAAATCTAAAAAAAAAAAAAATCTTTCATTTGCATTTCACTAAATTATATAATTAGGAACTTGTGGACCGCACACACACGATATGTTGCAGGGCTTATACAGCACAGCTGACCCTGTGTGGTGATGCTTATGGGTTGGTTTTTTTTTCTTCCTCCTCTCCGTTTCGTTTCTCAGGGGATGCCAAGGACACGTGCACAAACCGCACAAACCACACCTGGCACTAACTAAGTTAGCCCTTTGATATCGCACACTCCAGAAACAAAAGCAAACATACGAGCCCACACTTCTGCGCTACCGTATTCACCTACCCAGCAGACTACCCCCCCCACCCCCACGTTCGTCTGATGTTCTGTCAGAGGGGGCTTCTCATAGCTCAAGGCAGAGTGAGAGGTGGATTAACTCATTTTTCATCCCTACATTTGATTTATATTTAGAACAGGGATTGTTTCAGTGTCAGCACACACGCAACCTTACCAAAGTATCACTTTCTAGCATGACTGCTGCTTCTGACCTGTTATTTTAAGTCAATATAAGTGCAGAAGAAAACGCTAACGGACATAATAAATGAATGTGAATGTAGACAAAAATGTAGCTTTGCAATCATGTTTAACGCACAAGACTACAGCATGTTACGAGTCCCAAATCTATGGCAGATCTTTTTTACTACACGTAACTCATTATATTAACTGATTGCGTTAAAAGGTTTGCTCCCATCAGCGGTTTTGTAAACACCGACGTGAAAAGCATAAAGCTTCAGTTTCACTTGTATTTGGTCATACTCTTAACCTACATTATATCCAAAATACAGTTGTATTTAATGGCTAATTAGGTACTGACCCTTAAATAATCAAAGTGAAATGAAGTCAACTAAAGTTAAAAGATTTAAATATTTAATTTACTTGCATAGACGCCATAACTGAATTATTATCATCTTTGCTTGAGTTGTCTTCTTAAAAAAATGAATAAAGTATTTTACTGGACTGTAATTCAGCGGACTTAACTGTATTGAGTTATACTGAAATTAACTAAACTGAACTAATATCAGGGCTCAGAGGGTTACGTACGGGTATAAAAGACAACAGATGGCTGAACGGCTCTAACAGTCTTTTTTGTCTTTTATCTAATAAAAAATTGCACTATACTGAACAGGAGTTAAACACAGACGGTGACAACAGATTTAATGGTGCGCTTGTAATAAATGTCATACAATAGATCTGCCATTCAGAAACGCTGCACAGATACACTGGCTGCTAGAACGACTGTACGGCAACTTTCATTTTTCTAAAACGAAGCGCGCTGGCGGGAACCCCTTTAACCCGAGGGCCATGCTCGGGGGTTTATCTGTCTTTAGAGAGGTTATGGTATGGTTACCAATAACATTACAGAGTGAAGGGAGAAGAAAAAGATTTGCCTCCTTCTTCTCTTGATAAGTATCTGTCTCAATCTATTTTATGGCTTTTCAGGACCCATGCCAGGGCACAGAGGGGGAAAGTCAGGTCTTGTAAGTAAATTACAGTAAAATGGCAGGTATTTCTCATCAAAATCTAAACTGACTTTTACAGGCTTACTGTCAAGGTCTGTTACTTCATATAAAAGAGGGCCACTGAGTTCAGTTGGTTTTCAAGCAATTTTGCACTTGGGTTCAAAATGGGAAGAAAACACGGTTCAATAAGACATTTATGCTTTTGATTGGTGGGGCGCGCGAGGTGCAGGGCTGGAGGTATGATTAGGGCGCATTGAGAACAGGGGTATTTCTGGGATGGATGGAGATCTAGGTTGACTTTAATTTGGGTCTGGCCTTGACTAAAGCAACTATCTCCACATATGAGTTCAAGGGGCTTTTAAACTGGATGAATAGGTGGCAGAAGATGGATGTGCCATCCGTGTTTGCTGAAAGCGGTAGGGACGTGGCCTTAAAAAAAGCACCGGCCATAAGAGAACTGAAGCAGTCTGAAAGGACAGGTGTACACATTTGTGCACACACTCACTGAAAATAATATTTTATTTATATAATAATAATTTAAGCCTGCGTTTTAATAGCATCGTCAAGAATAAGTTGCTAAATCACAGTTACACAAGGTGAGCACAAGGTGATAAAGAAATTGTCGTGTACACGGTTAACATTAACTTCACATGTTTGCCCTAAGTGTTATAGAACAATGTGATAAAGGGCTGGGAAAGACAGCTCCTTTGTTTTCTTCTCATTAGAGAGGGCCGTATCACACTCCACCCTTGACTGCCTCGTTATTCCTTTAATTAATCAGTTCTCATCAACGGCACCCTCTCATTCTTTTCAAGGGCTCTACATCCTGCTCTTTACCGCTTCCATTTTCCTCTAGCAATCCTGCATGTGTTTCTTTCATCATTTCGGAAGGATTTTACCGCCCCCCCTCCCAAAAAAAAAAAAAAAAAAAGAGCCCTGCATCCTCTGCCTGGGACCCCTGTCTGATTATTATGCCATTAAGCCTCTACTCCGCTCCTCTGAAAGAGCAGCAGGCTCCCTCTCCAATCTAAAGAAGTCCTGGGTTTTTTTCCCCTCCTTTCCCTGAAATTACCCGGCGACGCGTGCCTGAGTTTCTAATTGGCATGCCCGTCCCTGGAGACGGCCCCCTCCCTTCTTCCTAATGAAAAGCCTCGGCCTTAATTACACTTTCCAAACGCTGATTGTTATTGACAAAACTCCTGTGGCTCGGACAAACGACGGCAGATTAGCTCCATTACAGGCAGCCCTCCAAGAAGAGAAAGAGAGGGATTTCAAATTGACAATGCAAAGTGAGGGGGGAAAAAAGAGGAGCATTCAATTTTTTTCTTTCCATGTACCTTGCTCTTAATTGTTTGGGCCGTTGCTCCACTTAAGACGTCTCTTTCTTTCCCGATGCCTCTTTTCTGTCCCATTGTGTCGCCGTCAGTGTACTTTTAGTGAAGGGACAAAAGCCCAGTTATGTTACTTGAGAGAAAATGTTCATCTTTTGTCAATAGACAGGATTGCTGATGGCAGCATGGGTAAACAGGAGGATTTGGCCTAATGCTTTTGTTTGCCTGCAAAAGGTACATAGACTGTCTAAAGCTGATAGGGCTGTAAGGTCCAAAATCAACACCTAGCATCAAGACAGGCAGCCTGCTCTCCGTTTAATGCCCGCAATTATTTGCTGATGAAAAAATTCCCTGCAAGCAACAGACAAAATGATTATTTTGTTTCACCTTAACCAAACCCTTAGGTTCATTTGATCTGTTTTATCTAGTTTGTTTTTCACTGAATTTATTCCACGACTAAGCCAGCACAGCTTAGTTCTGGGCAGCTGTGCCTGTTGTGCAAATTTTTTTTTTCCTGCTCAACAATATCTTCGTCGTCCTGATTAATCTGGAGCGGAGCACACAGTTTCACAGTGGGGGGCCTTTCATTGCCTCTCCAATGAGAAGCTGTGATACATCATGCCTTGCAGATAGAACAGTCTCACACTAGTCCCCCCCACCCCCACACACACACACAAGTCAGAACAAGAATAATAAAGCATGCACTCTGCGCCCCCCCCCAAGGCATCTGGACAAACAGCCCCCACCGTCCACCAAATCTGCCCTCTGAGTGATGATATTGTCTCCATCAAACTCCACCCACCGTGACAGATGATGTCATAATCTCAACAGTTGCCTCCTCTGAGTTAAAGTCTCCCTCTTTTTCTTTTATTTCAGTTTTATTGTAAAGATTCTTATCAAAATGAATAATTATTTGTTAATCATTAAAGAGAATTTTATTTTTCTGTTTTGTTTTGTTTTTTTGAGTTGTGAATAAATTAAAAACAGAGGCTGATATGTTTCTGGAGGCTACTGGTCCCCTGTGGTATGAGGCATCTTCCACACTCCAGTGATTTTTTTTTTTTTACATAGCAAAGTGTTTGGACTGAGTATGTTTCAGTGCTGTTGTGGGGCCAAAGGTGTCTTGTATGGAGGGTGTTTTGGTGTTCTGTGATGCAGCGACATGGGATGAAATATCTTGTATTGAGTGTTTGTCGGGCGGGGTGAAAGAAGAAAAATACCTTGTATTGTCCTTTTAAAAAAGGCTTTGCAGGCCTCACAAGAGGCTACCCCATAGTGATACCCCGAGGCTATATCTCCACAGACCAGGCACAGCCTCTTGGGGAGGGAGTTCAACATGTATTCGCACTTTATGGACGAGTCCTCCATGATGGTGCTGGAGCAGTCGTCATAGCGCTTGCGGCAGGTGCCAGCCCCAAGCCCGCTGGGGGTGAACATAGGAGGAGAGTCCAGGCCGTTCGAGTGGCTGTTCATGGTGCTGACATAGCCGCCGCTGGCGTCCGAGTTGCCGCTGGGGCTGTGGTGGCTGACCGTGTCGATGACCGAGGAAGGACTGGATGGCTCCGTCTTGATGTAGGACCCACAGCTGGAGGGTAGATGCCGGTCATCAGCGGCCATTCTATTCAGCAGCCTGGAAGGGGGTGGGGGGAGAGTTGGCGGGGGGTAGGGTTGATAGGAAAGGGGTTGTGGAGGGTGGAGAAGATGAAGATGATTAGCAGAGGTCTTCGGAGAGCAGTAATGAATCTCATCAACCAGCCAAGTGACAGAAGTGCAGGAGACAGCAAATTATTAGATTATATGGCAATTCAGAACAACTGTAACAGAAATGCTTCTTTCCTTTAACGAGAAATTTGGAGTGAATGGAGTGTGAAAAGATGAGCGCTAACATACTGCTTATTTACAACTACAGAGCAGAACAACTCACTTTCAAAGCTTTTACAGTGGAAAAACATGTGTTTGATTTTCTTTTCACAAAGGAGAGGAAACTGAAAAGAGGACAGATGATAAGTTTCGTGTGGTTGCAGCCTTACGTTTAAAATTGAAATTGAAATATGTAGTCATCTCTGGTTTTTTTTATCTTTCCAACTTGTCTGTCTACACCACTGTGTCCTAACAATCCCTTTACACCAGTCAACCAGGGGGAAGGGAAGTGCTTCATTAGCCACACATTACAGCAGCTGCGAAAGCGCTTTAGAGCAAAAATACACAGCAAACACGGCGGCACAAGTCCGTACGCCACACAAACCCAGTGAAAAAAGGTAGTTGAAAGAGAATAAGAGGAGGAGAGAAAGGGCACTCTGAAGACTTAACACACACACCCACCCACACAGAGCGTGCACACACATCAAAGATGGGGGCATCTCCGTAGTTTAGAGAGCACAGTGGACCTTGGCTTGTCTCCTTGAGTCAGCAGTCAACCAAAAGGAAACATGATGGGAAGATATTGACTTTTTCACTGTCTGCCTAATAACTGTATTTTGGAGTACATGCAATCTGATGCTGTAACGTGTGCAGACTAAAGTGCAGTCTTTTGACTGCGGCCACAAAATCCTCTCTGAAGCCTCTCCTGCCCATATAAATCTACTTCAGTTCAGCTCTATAACCTTTAACTTGAAATTGCACTAAGAGAACAACGAAGAGGGGGAAAAAAACTTAGCCTGGACACACTCAACTCGTTTTTCCATCTGCAAATAGAGTGTATTGAAGAGGTGAAGTGGTGGAGGAGATGAATAACTCAATCTGCTGGGGATGCCGTGTAGACACAGTAACCTCTTAGGGTCAAGGCGAGGTCACACACTAACATACGCACACACCCCTATGCATGAGGGTACCACTGAAGGGGTGAAAGGTTACCTGCACTTGCCTACATTAACAAAATTGAGCCTTGCGTGGCTTATGCAAATTCAGTTTCAAGGGTTTCTCATGAGTGGCAGCTAGAAAGCCCAAGTTGTGCTTTAGCACATTAGTTTCATTAGCATATTGCCAACTAACGGTAATGTTTACATACTGGACATGTCAGGTTTACCATCAACGTGGGGAGAAGATGCTGTTTCCCACTTGGGCTCCTATCTTTTGGACTGGACTGCTCTCAGAGCACTTCAGAGGAAACAGGAAGCGAGCGTATGCTGTGGTGTCCGCCGTTGGTTGGCCACACTGCTTCTCGCTCTCTGAGGCTGATTTAATTGTGAAGATGGGTGACGGAGGGGTTCAAGCCCAGGGGTCAGTGGGTCAACCTTATTTTCTCACCCTGGATTCCAGGGCCCGTGGAGATGGGGGTCAGCGTGTCAAATTAAATCTCATTCCCGGGTTTCCCCTCCCTGCTGTCATGTATATTCATTGGAGCTCCAGGTGCCTAGCACTTCTGGAAATTCGCAAAAAGGTTAACTGCTAAAATAAATAATAAAAATAAAAAAAACGTCCCCTGTTAAAACCGTTGACCTTGTGGAATAAGCTCTTTGCCCGAGCTCTCCTGGAATCCTTCTTGTGATATAAAACCTCTCAAAATATAAAACTGACACACAGCCGCCATCCTGTTTCGCAAAAAGTAATCCAATACATGCTTTATTTCCTCTTTCTTTCACTTACTCTCAATTTAACCAATTCATGCAATAACTGTATAACGGGTGGTTGTTAAGAATTACCTACCTCTACTCTTATCTAATGGTTTGCAGGAAAAAAAAGTGAATCATGTTCATGCCTTTCTAAAATAGATCTCGCCGCTCTTAATAACGAATGCAGATTACATACCCATAAATTAATGCACGCTCTGTGTTCATCTGCTTTATGTTCTCTGTTTCAGGATGGATATGTGCACCTGCGCGACAGGGCACCTGCACTTGGCTTATTAAAGGCTATATATTAAAACATAGGAGCACAAGATGGCTCCATTTAGCTTTTATTTCAGAAATTCAGAGTAAGCTTAACCCAAGTTCAAAGGCCACCTCGAGGGTGACACTTAGCATAATTGCATAAGTGTCTTAACTGTTTCCCCTCCAGCTCAATGTGGTCATTTATAATGAATGTGCTGGCTAGAATCCCCTTAACTCACACCGCTATGACACATTATATCACTGCTATGCTTATGTTTTTAACAAGCCTGCATATATTGATTAATGATACTGAGGGAATACTAACCATGAGAACCTGGCGTATTAATCAAACAGTCGAAAATATTTCTATAAATATTGGTAATCTCTAGTGGGACAGGGCCAATTTAAATCTATAAATACAACTGTACGGGAAAATGAATTATGAACATTAAATTGTTTGACAGCAGCAATAGTCCCGATAAATAATTCAATATGTGGGGCAGGTGCTAATTAGCTTGTGTGCCACAGACAGAGCAGACAGGAAAGGGTGTGCTGAACTGAGACTTGATGCTGTAAAATCTATAGTTCTTTCTTCCTTCCTCAAGGTAAGAGCTTTTTTCTCTCTCTCTCTTTTTTTTTTCAAAATCTGCTGCCTGGCTGCCTAAAGGAGCAGCACTCATCTAAGACACAGTATCTCCCCCTCTCCCATTTTCTCCCTCTGTTCCTCCTCCTTTTGTTCCCTTTGTACCGATCAAAATTCATGCTGAGTAGTAGGTTATGGGCCCGCAAACGCACACTGCGCAGTTTGGTTTTAATCTGATTCCACCTGGCCCTCCTAACGGCATTTCAGATCCCTAATATCATTCCACCAGTGCTGCTGTGACTGGGATTAGCCGGCCTAATGATGTGGCAGCTCGTATCACACTCGCCGTTCCACGATTTCCGAGAGGAGAGCCACGGAGCGCTCTTTCCTAACATCTCCACTCTATCCCTTTGCCTGCGAGCGAAATTCTGAACATTGGATGACACTGTTATGAGAACGGAGAACATTCAAGATCTAATTGAGGCAATTTGTAAGTATGCCTGCTGAGAGCTAGCAGCTCTCTTCAGGAGGATAGTGACATCTTCCATTTTTCTCTGTGTGACTGCCACGCTCTCCCTGTTTCATGTATAAATCCCAAGCACAGAGTACAACCCTGCGCTAGAGACTCAACTCAAGCAGCGAGTAAATTCCTCATGTCCTTTTCACTCTCAAGGCCGCCAGATGCCAAAAAACACAATTTTTATAACATTTGCTCACCTCATCTTCGAGTGTCACACCCCTGCTACCTGATCAGACTGCACAAGCGAAGGGGAAGAACGGGTTGGCGGTGGGGGTTGACATCTCAAGGCAGGGCGATGGTGATATCAGATGCCCCAGTAGGGGCAGATCTGTCTCGTGGGCCTCAGGCGATGTGGCCTGATAAGCCACTGGCCCCAGAGTCAGCGGTGGTAGGACGAACTCAATTAGCTCCTGACAGACCCCCTTGCAGCCCAGCGCAGCCTCCTCAGCACAGCCAAGAACCCGCTGGCAGCTGCCACGCTGACCTCTCCTCCAGGGGCCACTGCCACCTTTTACCGCTCCAACACACACACAGAGCCAGGGACTCATTTTTTTTTGTAAAAGCGAAAATCATGGTCAAAATCTACACGGCCCCACAAAAGTCACAGAAATACGCACAGAGGCTTGAAAGCCACCAAGGGTGCTCGCCGCACATTCACACGGGGGAAAATGTAAATGAAAAAGGACCGAGACTCAAGGAGGGGTTGGTTTGGCCCCTGGGAGAAAGGAAGGGAATGGAGATTCCAAAACACACTTAGCTGAAATATGGAGTGTGCCTCTCTCTGTCTAACTGGCTCCAGGTTAATGACCACCAGGGGAATAAGGGCCAAAAGACTCTTGGGGCAATGTGCATAAGTGTGTGTGTCTGTTAGATTGGTTTATGCGCTCATATGCGAGTGTGTATTTGCACTGCAGACAGAATATGAAAGATGGAAATTTGGGGGTTGGCGGTGTGTCGTGTGGCTGACGGCGGTGGTTTGGTTGGAGGCAAGACCGGCCCTCCACAGGGACCCATTCTAATCTATGAGGAAGAGGCCCCTGATTTTGGAGTTTCTCATTCATTAGTCCTGCTCTAGCAGGGAGACAGGGAGAGGACTGAGAGGAGGGGGTGGACCTGAGGAGAGGGGAGGGGCATCTTTATTAACGGATGTGCCAGACACTCAGAAGACGCTGACAGAGATTTATGATTTGCAGATCTACGGAGGCAAACAAAAGGAAAGCGGAGGGGGAAAAAAACAGGAAAAGAGAGAGTAAGTGAGGGGCTACATTAGAAGAAACAGAGAAGAGAGTGTTTACTGTTGTGATGGGGAGTGAGGGTCCCAGATCGATAGTCAGGAGGCTACAGGGGCCAGGGCAGGGTTACCACTTCTCAGGGACTGTGCTGCTGCTGCTCCGTGGTGCTCTAGCAAAGGATTATATTTAGCTGCTTCACAGCGATGTTACTGTAGTCTTTATAAAGCCATGAGCTCACTCCACTACGACAACATGAGCCCCACGCTCCAGCAGCACCACAAGATAGAGTCGACCAAGAAGCAGATCACATCTATCGATCGCCCCTCCCGCTCCTTCCTGTTCTAGAGACGCTGCTGGCAGAAGAGAGAGGGCCTCTCGTGACACAGGCGCTGCTGTTTGTCTGACGTAAACTGTCTGGGCCGCTCTGGGCAGATCTTGTTCTTATAAGGGGCTGAGTTCAGGATGTTGAGGGAAGCAACCGGCTAATGACAGAGCTTCTGTCAGTGGAAGTGTGGGTGGGGGGATCGTGGGGGGGGAAGTAACCGCCGTCTAAACTTCTTACGACAGAAAGCGAGGAGTTAACAATCTTCTATGCAGAACCAGTGGGAACGGCTCTCTGCAGAGTCGGACAGCTCATCACGCTGTATGTAAAAAAGGAAGTTCAGGGATAATTCCGGCCTGCCGTGCCGTACATTTGGGATCAAATTTCTAATTCTGCCTTTTCATTACCAAAGATTACTTTTCATTACATCCATTATGTGGCACAGTCATGGTATAATTTAGCAACATGAATTTACAATGGCTCTTGATAACTACAAAAAGTAATTATGGTGCATGGCAAAAAAAAAAAAAAAAAAAAATTCGCCTTGGGGCCTAGAAAACTTGGGGTTAGGTGATGACATCCGACACAACCCTGTGTTGTGTGATATGTTACCGATACACAGGCAACAATATCACAGTACGTTCTCCTGCGATACTGTGACATGGAGGTTTCTCCCCTTTACTACAGACGGTTTAACTCTAAACCGTTTCTTTGTCATGTTATGGCAGTTTTAAAAATGTGAACATTTATTAAAACTGCTTAATTAAATTTGGCTGTGAAACTCAAATAACAGCACGGTGCAAATAAATGCACTAAGAACGAGTAGTTTTTTCTAAAATTGTAAAGGAATGCATTATAGTGATATATTATGCAAATCCTCATGAACAGTGTGATTCAATACAATCTGAACTTTAACACTTTTTCTTAAAAAAAACAGCACGTTCAGTTTTGCACGATAAAAGACGACTGCTAAAGTTTTGCTTAACTGCTACAAATCCAGTAAAAAGCCAACAGATATCAACCACAGCACGCTCCATGAGGAGGGAGGTGGGATTATAACATTTGAATAATGAAGAAAAGAAAAAAGTTTGCGCATAACTAAAAGTCATGCATTGCAGTTCAGAGAGCATTCAGAGATATTTGTGGAGCAAACCAAGAGAGAAAACGGATCCACAAGGCTAATTTTCACAGAAAGTTGCAAGCTGTGCTGGATGATTTTTTTTTTTATTGTTTGTGTGTCTAAGTGTGTGTGTGCCTGTGTGTGTCACAAACAGAAAGAAATATTTTTATAAAGGGTTAAGGCTATTTAACACAGTGCAATGTAAATCACAGGTTTAGACACAGTCACTGTGCGTAGAGGGGGACGGAGGCATAGAGCCATGCATGAAATTACTTCATTAATCTTCTTCTGATAGGCCGTCCTTGTTTAGGAGGAAACTCTACCTGCCTAAAACAAAGAGCCAATCCTGCCTCCACCACAAATTATCCCCTTTATCAGAAGAGGACACAAATATAAACAGACACACACACGCGCGCGTACATACACAAATGCTAGAGCAAAATTAACAGGTCAAAAATCTGAGGTTTATCAGGTGTTTCAGACGTGACGGCGTTTGCAGAGGCTCACGGTCAGTGAGCAATCACAGCGCGGCACGCGATACGACATCTGTGAGTTAAAGATGTAACTTGATTCCTCGCATTTAAAGCGTTGTTCGAGGCACACAATTCAGACGACTCCAAAACGAATTGCTGTTACTCAGAAACACCATTGTTATGACTGTCACACGCCACAGCAGTCGACACAGTCACAGCAATAGCCTCTAGCTTTTTACAGGCTCATCTCTACCAGCTGCCACACATTCTCCATAAATAGTGCTGGTAATAAAAAGGCGGGTGGGCCTAACTGATTTATATGGTTGTGTCCACCACCACACCATTCAGGAATAATTAAACTTTGGGGATATTTCCTGAATTAATGCATCTCCTTCAGGGGTGGGGAGGTGGGGGGGGGTTGACATCTAAACGTGCGACGCGGTTTTTACCAACGTCTCGCGTCACAGGATATAGTGGGAGAGGGGGCCTCTCAACATTTCGACAAGCAGCCACTCAGTGTGTGAACGTTTGATTGTACTTAAGGATGCAAGGGCGGTCTCTTAAGGTGACGTTTTAATGTGCACATGTTTTGTGACCAACAGGCAAATACTCATATAAGCACACGGTCGTATAAACTGAAGGCAGATGCAGAGGAATACACACACACACACACACACACACACTTTTACACTAACAAATCTGTCAGTTATCAGATTTAATTATTATATGACAAGAAAAGTTGTAAAAAAATGTTAACCTCTAATAAACACTGCCCTTGATGACAGTAAGGGTGAACAGCCTGATTTTTAGATTGAGTTATAATTTAATTTTCCCTTCGCTTCCATATTTGTGTCACTGAAAAGTTTGGAGAGCAGACAAGAATTTGGTTATTTGGAAACAGAGCACAAAAATTAGAAGCTTGTTCTGATTTATACAGTATAATGTATTTATAATTTATAATGACTCCACATTTAAAAAAACTGAAGTCTAAACAACGCCAAAGACTCAGAAGTAAATGTGGAAAAATGTTCTTACATTTAAGACTTTCACTAACTCTTATTTGACAAAGACATTCAAATATTTTTGCACTGCTTTTTAATTTATTTATTTTTTACATGAATTAAAATCTCAAACAAAAGTTGCTTTAATTTTCTAATAGCAGGGTCCAAATATGTATGCACAGAGACATTGACCGGCGTTTTGCACGCTGTTCTGTTAGTGGGTGATTATTGGTTACATCTAATTGCCCAGGGCAAATCTGGGATAAGCAATAGTAGTGCTCTCTCTCTCTCTCTCACTCTCTCATAGACACACCCGTAAGACAGCCTCTGTACACGCAGCATGTTTTCAGTTTAACAATTTCAGCAGTTCATGAAGCTGAGCCCTACAGCTTTCTTTAAGGCTGTGCTCTGCGTGTTTCAGCACATGAACCTGAAACATTCGAACGGCTCTCCAAAAAGCGATGACAAAAAAAACGTTATTCCTCTAAAAGCTGTAATGGGTGGAAGGCTCACGCAGACCATGCATAGAAGACCTGGTGAAGCTGTCAGTAGGAATCAGAGCTGCTTCAGTGATGGACGGTTCCAGTATTGATTTCATAAATAAACAAAGCTAAGCATCGATCTTAATGTTATTTTGCATTTCAATTACTGCTCCGAAACATAACCTTCAAACAACTGACCGCTCAATACTAATAGCCTTCAATGATAAACACCCATATCGTTACCCACCTTACGTCATGTCATTTTTTAACTAAGTGTGAATTACTGAACCTGGAGTCGCACAATGTGACTGCAATCAAATAGAAAGCAAAATGTTTGCACAAAAAATGGTAAACTTTGTAATTACGGCTGATTTTGCTTTTAATCTTCACCGTGTGGTGTTTTCTTGTAATGCAACACTCAACAGCTCATGCTAACGGCTCTTTTCTTGACCGTGGTGTATCTCCCAATTTCCGCTTTCTATTGTAGGTGTGTGTATGTGACTGTATGTATGTGTGTGTGTGTGTGAGGATGCATGCATGCATGGATGTGTGTAAATGAAGAGGAGCCCTTCAGTGTTGGAGCAACAGGAAGAAGTGCTGACGCACTGTGTCAGTGATAGCACTCTGCTGCCACAAGGGCATGAGAGCCCACATAGGCTAGCATTATCCTTCTAGACTAATGGGCCTGGTTATTTTTAAACAGATTCTCACACTGCGGTGGAGGTGTCCAAGGTTACCATGGATGAGAAATCAGGAGGGACGCATGCAGTGACATTTGGTGATATCTGTGCAGGTGGATGTTATAAAATAGCCAAAGAGGTATTGTAAGTAATCATGAAGAGATGTAAAGGCCAAACATCAAATAGGCTCTCAAGAGAGAGCATGTTATTATGAAAGCATGATCTTCCAAAACTGACCAATACTAAAAAGAAACATTCAGAATCTGGTCTTTAGTAAGTTTTAACTGTAAAGTTAGTAAAGTAAAGAAATACAGAAAAAAAGAACCAGCCTGGATCCTGAAACCTTCTCTTGTCCTTTTATTTTATCAGTTAATGACCTGAGAAATAAAGCAACACAAGGTGTTTGATTTGGCAGCTCCTTAAAAGCCAGCCTCAGCACTAACAACTATGAACCCAAATACCTCTGAAGCTACAGAATTGAGACTATCCAGACATTGCCAACACACTCTGCATCACCATTTGGCCTGGAGAGAGACAACATGCTCCCCCCGCTCAGCTTGAGCTGAGTGACATATTTACAGTGAAAGTAATGATACTAGATACCAGAAATGAGAGGGCTCCAGCGTGGCCAGTGGACTCAGGAATCTCTCTAATGAATTGGACAACAAAGCCCTGTTGGTACAAGGAAGAAGTATTTAGAATTTGGCAGAAATCTGAGCTTAAGCACATTAGGTTTCTCTTTAAAAGGCACACATCCCAAAAAAACTCCTAAAATTTGCTCTGGGAGATGAGGAAAGTAAGAGCAGGACAGGTGGGTTGCCTGGGCTCCATGCTGCAGCTACAGAGGCCACCGGCTCCTGGCTCATAGCGGGGTAGCAATTCTCGGCCAGGAGCTTCTTCTGGTAATGTATTCTGAAACCAAATTACCGTAAGCTGATCCCATCTGGATAGCGTCTGTGCACGGCTGCTTTGGTTACCCACCACTGCCTCTAGCCTGTGATAGCATCTCCATGAAGACAGCAAAAATCTGATTAACCCTATAACAATGAAACACTTGGTCAAAGAGCAAGGAGCTTTTAACTTAAGATACACTAATGCAATTCCCTCGCCTTGTTTTCTGAAACCTAATAAGAATCAAGTGGACGGACTGCTAGAGATGGGTGTTTGCAGGCTTTAATGCAGCAAGCTGGGAATGAAGTCAAATAAATTGAAATCTAATTCATCACTGTGTGTTAACTTCTTTCTGCTTCTCTGAAAATACATTAAAAAGCTCTTATTTCATGAAGGGAAATTGGATAGCCTAGTTAGTTTATTGCAGTGCCTCTGCCAGGGCTTAAGGGAAGCCTGGGTGTTGATGGAACATTTAGAAGCAGAGAGAAGTCACATCTCAATTCGCTGCCACTCAAATATTGTGTTTTCTAACAAGCACTGAAAAACTCACACTTGCAATCCTCAACCAGAGCTGGTTTCTAAACAGAGTGCAACAGCCGGTGCAACACAAGTGAATGAAGAGAATCTAATTCAACTACACGATAAAAAAACACTTAGATTTAAACAACTGAAGCAAAACTGAAAAACAGGGCGAATGTAATGGAAACATAAAACATTATTAGAACAAGTTGCAATAACGTCGACGTTTCTTTTCAATTGATTTCCAACATTAAAGAAACAAGAGAAGCATATCTCTGTTTAAAAGATAAAAACTCTCCTTCCAGCTAATTCCCAGGCAGTATTGATGCCTTCGGTTCAGTATAAGTACTACAGTGATACGGCACTACACTGTTGTGCTAATAACATAGAGCACATACGTTCTACTAATCCTCTCACTTAAGCATCGCGGCCGCATCCAGCACTCAGTAAGAGGCTGCAAATACCAGTGCATAATTAGCAGAGAGCTACTGCTGAGCCAAAATTACCAGCAGCACACAAGCATGTGCTGAAAAGAGCCCACAAATGAACTGTTTTGGGGGATTGATATACGTTCACATTACTGCTGAGCATTCCTTCATTAAGATATTTTAGGTTTACTGATTGCCGTTTCAAAAGAAATGTAAAAAGTTACTAATATGTTAAACACCTGTTCACAACTGGGCTTTGAAAGAGTAGATTTTCTGCTCACCGTCAAGTACAAATATAATTATTTATTATGAGTATTCAGCATAATCGCTAAATTATATTTAATGTTTCCTATTATTTTAGACAGATTTTAAATCAGCACAACATAACTACATCTCTGATTATAAACAAACATAAATATACTTCACTCTTTAAGTATTACTAAAAAATATCCCAGCACAGCTACATAAACTTCGTCTTTCACACCTGAAAAATGGAAAACAAATACTAGATTATGTGTAATTTCTTTAAGAAATACAATGAAAAAAATCTGAATTCTGACACCTCAAAGATCAAACTGATTTAAACTAAAAGACTTACTAAGCAATTACTTTTCGACATAATTGAAACTGTCCTAAAATTTAAATGTTTAATGTTTCACCTTGTGCAGTTCATATAGTTCAATTTCTGCTGAAAACTGGATTTTACAGGAAACCATTAATGAATCCATTAAAAAATGAAAACTTAAATATCATGTACTAAAACGATTACATACTGGTGTAAATATGCTCTTCTAAAATAAATAAAAAATTGCAGTGGTTTTCTTTTCCTAATTAGCAAATACAGACAAAAGAATACAAAAAAGACATTACGACTTGAGGTCATCGTACCTGACATGCAATAGAAATGTTCACTTTTTTAGGGTTTGTTTAATTTAATTTTAAGATGTATCAAAGAATGAAACGACACAAAATACATCTTAAGGGAAAAAAAACAGAGATGATTCCATTTATTCTTTATTATTCATAAGTATCCTAGAATAACTTTGAATTTGCAGTGATTAAAGCTCAAACTAAAAAAAGTCAAAAAAGTAAGAAACACTAAGAAAATGGAGCTCTAACTGTTTTCTGTTAATGATTTTCACATTTTTTAAAATCTAATTAATTAAAAAAAACTACATATCTTAATTATGGTAAAACTGAATAATATGAAAACAACACTAACAAGAATTTTTTTTAACCAAAAATATTAAATTGTTATAAAACACTGTCTAATTTGGGAAAAGCTCCTGAAATTTCTTTAAACTTCTACATAATAACCCTAATAATTATTATCATTTACAAAATATATGATTTATAACCTGCTTAAATTAATAACAGAAAACTTTAGAACAGCCGAATGTCTTAGAGGTTGGTTTTCATACTATATCTGTTATTGGTTGTTGTTAGATATATTTTTACCATAATGATAAAACTGCTTCTAAAAAAAGAATAATAATAATTACAAAGAAAACTGGTGATACAAAAAATACTTTAACTAAAGGTAATTTGTTTTGTTTTAAATGTAAGATACTGGTTGATTTAAAAAGTTTGGTAAAGGCACTGTAAGCCCAGACTGTCCCAGCAGCCAGGAGCTGTCGAGACAGCAGCTTGCCCGGCACGCCGCTGACTGGGACAGACCTGCCGCCTGACTGAGGTTACTGGGTCCTTTCATTCGTCTTGCCTGGCTACAAATATATATTACAGCGTGTAATTTATCCTCTCCAGTTCTACGGATTCACGTTAATCTCTCCTCTTTATAATATCATTCTCAGTCTGCCTGGGTGGCCGGATCTAGGGACAAAGCCATCAGCAAACAAGCTCCTAACCAAACTGGACAGGCACCCCCCAAATTCTATAGAGTAAAAAAAAGGAAAGAAAAAAGGAAAACACAAACACACACACACACACACACACACTTCTTCAAAGGGCCAAGTTAAATCAATCAGCCATGCTCTGAAAGATATTTATAAAACATACATCATGATGTGCCACACACCCATACACGCATTTACACAGTTGCACCTGCTCTGCTGCTCAATCCTGTCAAGTCCAACGATATTTAAAATCCCTCAAAACAACGAATGGGAAAAAAAGTGCAGGTAAGGAGTTTGAGTTGGCGTTAAGAGGCTATACAAAAAGAACAGCCAGGAATTAGAAAGTTAAAAGTTCAGTGCCTCGTAGAAAAGTAAAAGAAGAGTAGGTAAAGAGCAGATTATATTTTTTAAATAGAAGAAAAATGAAAGGAAAATACAGGAAAAAGCAAAGGGATCAACGGCACTACAACAGAGAGGTTAAAAAAGAAATAAAAGGGGGAAAACAGAGAAACAAGTGCACCTACTGGTTATGATAGCTGAGAGGGTCTGGAAGACAAAGTTCTGAAATGTCCATCAGTCCAGTTTTAGCATTCCAGGAATGAGAGGAAGAGGAAAGAGAAAACAATTGAGACCCGCTTCTTTCCCAAATGATAGCAAAGCACCCTCAGAGACAACGCTGCCGAAAACCCCCTCCAGCACCGCTTCCCCCCAGCCTGCACAGGTATGTTGGACTCTGATGGATTGAGTGGGCGTGTGTGTGCCTGAGCATGTGTGTTGTGTATGCGCGTGTGTTTATGTATATATGAGTGGGAGAGAGAGAGAAAGAGTGTGTCTGAGTGTATGTGTGAGAGACAGAGAGGGAAAGAGAGAGAGTGAAGGGGGGAGGGACAGATCGACAAGAGAGGTAAAAAGGGGGTGGGGTGGGGGGGTGAGAGAAAGCTAGAGAGAGAGTGAGAGAGACAGAGAAGCGCAGGCAGCAGCGGGATGAGCGCTAAGATGGAGAGAGCATGAGAGTGCGAGCAAGAGGAATGACTCTTTCCATGGTCGGGATAGGGCTCTTTAAGACTCAAGGGCTTGATGAATATGGAACAGCTGCTGTTGGCTGGCTCTGAGGGGCAGGACTTAAAGCGACAGAGGGGGCCGGCGGTGCACTGGGGGAGGAGGGATCCAAACGCTCGCTCGCACTCTCCGCTATGCACAACACGCATGGCTCACACGGACCTAGACAAAACAAGCTATCGCATGAACAACAGCGATCTAGCAGTCAACACACAAAGTTTCCATCTCATGATATGACAGAGATGGGTGCTAGAAAGTTAAATAAATAAGATAATAAAGAGAAGTAAGGGGTTTTAAGTATCAGGGGAAGCTCCTAGTGTTCATAAAGCAAAAATAAATCAGAGTTTTAATACTTGCTGTTGAATTGAGTGGGTTTTTTTTTTAACAATATAAAGCAAGGTATCTTTAAATGTGACATTTTGCCAGCTGTATCTCTGCATCTCTTTAGTTTTCTGTGTTATATCCGACCATGCTGGGGTTAATTTGAAGCGGTGTCATAAAGCAACTACACATGAACACTGAACTTAACCAAGCAACACACACACCTCAGAGATATGACTGCACGGCAGTACTAAGCCTGCTGTCACACACTTCAAGTTTTTTTTTAAGATCAAAATGATACCTGCACTGTTACACAACACATGATAAAGTCAAATCTGACACCAGCCGAGAGCAACACTATAGAAGTTCCAGCGGGCAGTCGAGTGCATCCGCAGCACTTCGCTTTCAAAAAGCAATAGCTTTCAAACCGCGCTGAGGACAGTAAATGTATTTATTGAGCGGTGTCATTAGCTCCATTCGCGGGTGTTACATGTGAGGGACCATTGTGAACCTTTCACCACCTGTGAGAGATGATTTCAAGCCATAACTCATATTCTCAAAGCCCATCATCTTCTAAAGCAGCAGAAAATCCAGCTCTGTCTCTTCTAACCCCAGCTTTACAAGCGCCTGTGCTTCGCTGTTGATCAAGCTCAGTAAGAATGCAGAGAATGCAGATACCATTTCACAGTCAGTGAGGGTCTCCATGTTACTGTATCCCCACATTATAAGAACAGAGCTTACCATGGTATCTTGACACTTGGTTGAATTGAACCGAGAAGAAACAGCAGCTTGCCCATTTCTCAAAAAAAAAAAAAAAAAA